TTTTTTTTTTTTTTTTTTTTTTTTTTTTTTTTTTTATATAAAAAAATAACTTTATTCAGGGAAGAAGGAGCAATAAGTGAGCTATTAACTGTAACAAAGGATACCCAATCAGGAGGCCCAGCTGATGGAGCTCATCTTCACATTGTTCATCTTGCTGATGCCAGGTCCTCTTTACAACTCATTAAGGTATTATAACATTTGAAAAAAGAAAATGTTCAAAATAATTCACAGTTCATTACGTATATGATGTTAGAAAAATGATCTGGAACTTAAATACATAGAGCGATCTCGTATTTTTAACGTTTTTCGTTTTTCCTGTTTTGTGTCTCTGTATAGGAAGCTAAAAGTAGAGGTGATAGCATTACAGTTGAAACTTGCCCTCACTATTTGGCCTTTTCGGCTGAAGATATACTCGATGGAGACACTCGATTCAAGTGTGCTCCACCTATTCGTGATGCGGATAATCGAGAAAAGCTATGGGAAGCTCTGCTGGTACTATACCTGTTGTGTTTTCGAATTATCACCCTTAATTTTTTTATTTTTATTTTTTTTACTTTTTATTTTATCNTTAGGATGGGCACATTGATATGTTGAGTTCTGATCACTCGCCTTCGGTTCCGGAGCTTAAACTCTTCGGCGAGGGTGACTTTCTGAGGGCGTGGGGTGGTATTTCGTCTTTGCAGGTGAATATTATTACTGCAAAATGTCTGAGACTAAAAAATATATTTGTGGTCATGATTATTTTTTCTTTTTTTTTTCGGCAATTATTCTGAGATTATTACCATCGATTTCGCAGTTTGTTCTCCCTGTGACATGGACGTTCGGACTTAAACATGGAATCAGTCTCAATCAGTTAGTTTCATGGTGGAGTGAGAAGCCGGCAAAGCTTGCAGGACAACATCTTAAGGTAATTCAAATGATAATTTTTTTTATTTTTTTTTTGCTTCAATAAATTGAAAGTTTTTGAGACATCGAAATTATTGTTCGAATTATCCGAAATCTCATTTGCAGGGGGCAATTGCAAATGGGTTTCATGCTGATATTGTTGTGTGGGATCCTGAACTGGAATTTGAACTTGACGATAATCACCCTATATACATTAAGCATCCGGTATATATTTGCATTAACCATGATTTTAATTGTTCTTTTTTTTTTTCCTTCTGAAAACTGTTCGACTTTTTTGCTCATTCAATGTACTTAATCTTGTGCAGAATATCTCGGCCTACATGGGATCGAAACTCAGCGGAAAAGTTTTAGCAACCTTTGCAAGAGGCAACCTTGTGTACAAAGAGGGAAAACATGCTCCTATTGCTTGTGGTGTTCCAATATTGGCTTCATAAAAGGTGACACTAAATATGTCATATCGATTTTTTCTGTTTCGACTCGAAAATCTCGGAAATTTGTCAGTAGCCGAATTTGTTTAGCTTTATTCAGTTTATTTATCACATTTTATTGTATCATCTTTTCCTGTACCAGGTTTGTCATGCATCAATGGCTCCCAAGATGGTTTAATCTCTCTCAGAATTCAGAAAATAGAATTGGCTGTGAATTGCTTCTATTGTGTGTGTGTGTGTGTGTTTTTTTTCTTTTTGTTTTTCTTACAAAAGCTTCAAGTGTAGATAATATTTTTAGACTTGACTGTAGGGTAAGAATGTGGTCTGATGATTGTCACACTGTAGTGACAAATATACTTACGCTTAATAAAATGTTTTTGATTCAGTTTAACAAACATCAAAGCTGTTTGAACATGAAATCTGGGACAGTGGCCGCTTTACTGTTTACTTCTATTCTTTGATATGGTTAGTAGATGAATGTTTAATCGATAATATGGATGCCAAAAGTTTGACAGACTAAGGTTATGTTTGGTAGACAAATAAGTTAGCTTATAACTTATTTAGTTAGTTTATAAGCTCCCTGTATTCAAATAAGCCTCTTTTTCTGAGTTTCTTTTTTAACAGATCTTTAAAGGTAGGACGAGCTTTTTTAAAAAGCTCAAGCTTATTTGATAAGCTTCTTAGTTGAATTTTCAAATAAGATAGTTAAATTTTTTCTTCCAGCTAGCTTATCAGCTAATTTTATCAAACACTTTTATCATATAAGCTAACTTTTCAACTATAAGTCATAAGCTATAAACTAAAAAAATTATTGATAAGTTATAAGCTAGATTAGCAGCTATCAGCTAGCTTAACTGAACTATCAGCTAGTTTTACCAAATATAACCTATAATATTTACTATTTGAAATATTAATTGTTTCTCTTTGATAAACGCCTTAACCATCTAATTAATTTAAGAATGGCATAATATCATGTAGGTTGGTTTAGTTAGATTTTTATTATTTTCCCTATTAGGAATTATATATATTTCTCATTTATAAAAGGATATGTAATATTTTTTATTTTATATACGCGGTATAATATTAAATCAGCTATCATATGAAGCATCGAGTATTCTGAAAAGATGAATTATTTAATATATAATATTTAAAGTGTTGATGTAAATATTTATAATTTAAGTTTGCTCAAATAAAGTTATTTTGATATACAATCTACTGTATTAAATTTAGAAATATCTAAAAAAAATACATTTTCAAGAGTCTAAACTTGGAGCTCACAAAAAAATACATTTTTAATAGTCTAAACCTTGAGCTCACATTGTATGGTAGCTCCTTTATTTTTCATTTTTAATTGTATCTTGTGTCATTAAATGCTTCTAAATTTTTATGCGTTGGAAGCATTACCATGGTTATCCAAAATAGAAACTCCGATCAAATTGTGTGCTATATACACTAATTTAGAGTAATTATATATTTAATTTTAAATTATGATATATATATTAATTTCGAGAACTAAACTTATATGACAATACTTTCACTTCTCACTGATATAGTATATATACTAATTTAAAGTAGTTGTATATTTAATTTTAAATTATGGTATATATATATTAATTATAGAGTAGTTATAAGTGGTTAGGATTCAAATTATCAATCTTAGCTCAATATATACTACTTTTATATTCTAGACATATGATTTTTAAATATCCTAGCTACATGATTCTAGAATTTATATGAGATTAACAAAAATTTATATAAGATTAAATTGCCTAATTATGATTGAAGCTTATCATGTATGAATGACTTTTTTTTTTAAGAAAAATATCCTTAATATGAAAATCATTATAAGGAATGTTATTTTTTTGGCTTGTTTTTTATTTTGCATATCCATAAATTTGCACTTATTTAAGAAGAGCGACTATATATATAAGCCAAAAATATTTTCACGTCCACGAAGTGAGTAAATGTATCCAACTAATAATTTGACTAATAATTTGCATAAAAGCTACAAATCACATGCACAAAATAAAATTTACACCAATGAATCAAAATTCACATCTTGATTCGTGATCTTTATTTCCGCAAAAACAAGAAACGTTCTATACTCCTATCCGCCACCGGGCAGCTACCCGCCCGGTGCTTTATGCGGTTTGCCGCACCAGACCTCGAATGCATTGCCTTCTATTACTTTTGTATCATCTTACACCGTTTATTCTTTCGTTTTTGCGTATTTTGTTTTCTCGTCTGCCTTTCGTGGCTAACAGCTCAATCGTTATTTTGCCCTGCCAAAAGTAGAAGAGAAATGATTTGAAGTGATAGTTAATTAAAATTATGTGAATGGATGAATAGTAAATTAAAGTTGTAAAAATTAAAGTCGATACACATCCTCCATTTATCTATCTTCTTCTTCTTCACTATACTTGCATTGGATAGCTACTCGGGAAGCTGGACTGGTTTGATGTTCCCGGCTCTTGGCAAATTGTCAACCTCCTTTTCGATAATGGCATCCAGTTGTGCGCCAAAATGTCTACGCTTCTGCTTAATTGGTTGGGCTGCACCGTTGACGTTCAAACAATGAACTACCTAGGAGCCATTAAACCCGTATAAAGTTGCTCACACAGGCTGGAGTTGGACCTCGAGGTCAATTTTCTCAAAACAATGGGGTGTGTATCTATCAAACCTCTAGCCTGGTTTCCATCCTCTTTTCTCAACTTGTCGTCCTTCGCGACCCGACTTCTTCTCCTCAGGTCTACGGCGTTCCTCAAGTTTTTCTGTCTATCTCCCTTTTTGCGTCTAGCTACGAAAAATCTAGTTTCGCCTCTTTCATGTTAATGTATTTGGAACACCTTTCCGAAGGCTCATTATAGCCCCATTTTAAATCCTCCTGCCTGACCTCCTCCACATGAACGCCTTGTTTCACGTAACAGGTCTCATACGCCGTCAGTGTCTCCCCTTCTCATTATTGCATGTTGATAAGTGTCAGGTAGGTTTGTTCGTGCTTGCATGCACTAGAGAAATGTTTGACACTACCTCAGTGCGACCTTGTAAAACTAGTCATGTGCAGGTCCTTTTAGCGTAGCTAGGAACGCCCTACAAGTTACTCGGTCCCTTTATTTGTTTAAAATGTCCATGTTTTCGAAGCTCCTCAGGTGTCCCGTCGAGTCCATAGATCCATCATAAGATAGGGTTGGCTCCAACAGGGGTCCCAGTTGAATCCAAGTTAAAATGTCCCATGTTATTTGATTAGTAGAAATGAGTTCCATTTGTCTCGAGCTCCGAATATTTAAAGTATTTCACATAGTTTCTTGGCGAGTTTGTGTCCAGTTTTTCGATCGGTTACCATTTTTCGTTCATAGCCATGTTATTCGCAAGTTTTTCTTTACATAAGGAAATTGCTGGGAAGATTTCATTCATGCTCAGTTACTCCTGTTGCTTCAACCTAAAAATCATAAGACTCTGAAAAGAAAGGTAAAGTAAAATTTATATTCCAATCTTATACTGTATGAGTACATAAAATCTCAGAACAAATTTTTGTACAGTGTATACAAACTATTGACCAGAGTATTATATCCAACAATCAGAACACAAGAAGGCACAAGAGAAAGAAACAGAACAAGAAGATTGTGACCCTGTTCAGAGACTCCTCAGCCCTTAACTCCCGCCTTCTCATCCTCGAGCTCCGGCTCCCAACCGAGCGGTAAGAATTGGGATATGTATACACACTTTGCGAATTACCAAAAACCCTCGTGTACATCATCTCCCCGAAAACCCCCGCAGTAGGGTGAAAAAGAGACATTGCTGCAGTCCCACATAGATTAAACGGGGAAAGTGAAGAATATTCACCATAATTCGTAAAATTATTCGAAAAACTTTGTCGGCTTTGAATTTGATGATGAGGAGGTGTAAACTGCTGTTCGGGGTTTAAAATGCTTGCAAGAGCCTTGATGTTGCAAGCGGAAGGTCTCGGGGGAATAACTTTGCCTTCGGCTTCGGATTCGGAAAAAGACTGTCCTCGACCGTAAAGTGGGACTATGGTTTTTACGGAAATTTGAGCCTTGCAAATGGGGCATTGGGGAGGCTCGTCCGAAGAGCCTTGAGAGTCGAGCCATTTGTATATGCAGGGCCAACAGTAGAGGTGGCCGCAAAGAGTTACAACTGGGTCCCGAGCAAAGTCGAGGCATATACTGCAGTCGAAGCAGGGAGAATTCTTTTCGGGCTCAATGGGCTGAGTGGGGATAGATTCCCATTCCTGAGCAAAATACTGAGGAAATTCCATTTGAGAGTTGACTTTGTGGTGCTTAGGTTCTTGATCTGTCAACTGAAATGAAATGAAACAGAAAAAATTTTACTAAAATGGTCGAAAAAGATGAATGATTAATTCAAAGTGATCAGATCTGATCTTAAACATAGGAAGAATTTAACTCAAAATTTGCAGGTCTCATATTTGGAAGTGTAGTATTATGATTCACACATTCTCACAAAACATAGCTCATTAAATAGCTTAGGGGGAAAAAAAAGATTTGTCAGCCACAAATAAAAAAATGGATATAACCCCACAAGAGAAATGAAAGGTCTTCAGTCAGCTGTGGCACTCAGAAAGTTCCAACGATATCAATTATTAAGAGTTGGTGGCTAGTAGATGACAATAACTTCAATAATTAAATACTGGCAAGTTTCCAAAATATCTATGCCAGGACCAAAACTTATGGAACATAGTATCTTATCGAACACAGGTTCCAGAACAATCCTTGTAAATTTCATATACCCTCTCTTGACTTCTTCTTCAACAGAAATTTAGGTTGATTAATTTTTACAACTTCCAACACTGACAAGGTACCAGGCAGAGGATAACAAGATAAAATTTTCACACATAAGATTTTTTTTAGAATTTAAGACTTTTGCAAAGGGAACCTAAGCTACATAATAAAGAAAGGCTTACGGTATATGAAAAGTGCGGTGCTCGCAAGATCAAAGAATTAAGTGATCAAGGTTTACAAGGATTTTCTAAATCACCATACTCAACATGAAAATATCCAGATTAATTAAATTAAGTCCTTCCACAGAGTCCAACAAATTTATCCTACATATATATGCTTCTATCTTTATCCTTGTTGGATTACATCATTCCAAGATTTTCCCTTGGCTCATAATGTGACCGATAGACAATGAATATAACCCTGTTTGTATGATCAACAACACCCAAAACATTTTCCAGTTCAAATTTCAACAACAATCAGGCAAAAATACACACTTCACGACTTCAAGAGTGTAGATCATGAACATAATTGCGTCAGATAGAACGGCGGGATCCAAAACAATGAAAACGAATCGAGATGGAAAAAAAATTCAATAAAAATAAAACAGTTTGAAATCGTGAAAACAATCCGATCTGTTCAAGCAAAATCAAATTGGGCAGCTTATTTCTCAACAAGGCTAATGATAATTAAATTAACAGCAGAGAGGAACTCGAGAAACGGAAAATTCGAGCATGAAACACATACCAGCTAGATTAACACGAGGTGCTTCGATAACTTTTTGCCGATTGAGAAGAGCTTTTTGCTTTGAAGAGGATTTTGGAGATTGAGAGAATGATTGATGACTGAAGCCAATTGCAGTGGTTAAGGGGATTTTATAATTGGGAAGAAAAATTCAGGAAAAAAAGAAAAAAACACAAAATCTAAAACGGCTCTGGCCGACGTGGGCCCTCCAAGCAAAAAAAAATAAAAATAAATAAATATTAGGTGTCACGCTCGTATCTAGATGCACGAGTATAAAAATTAGGAAAGTATGACATTTATTTATTTATTTTTAGTGTATATAAATTTTTATATTTAAAGTATATCTATAATACATGTGAATATCAAATTATATATTTTATTTATTTATTTGAAAGTATGATATTTTTTTTAAAATATATATATATATATATATATATATTTCTTTAAGGAGTATATCGACTCAAGTTTTATACTGGCCTAACATAAGACTCACTCTATTTTTAATTATAAATTTTTATAGAATATAACAATTTTAAATATACACGTATGTTGAAAAAAGTTATTGTTTCATACATATGAATATAATATATTTTTGAAAATTTATGTCTTTTTGGAAAAATGAGATAAAATAATTTGGTTTTTGAAAAAAAAAATTGAGATATAAATTTCAAAAAATTGAGATGATTTTGAGATTAGATATAAATATACAACAAAAAAATAGTGATTAAAGTTACATGATATAATATAACAAAGTATTAATTGATATTGATAAAATTGTTAAAAATATGTTAGTAATACTATATATATATATTGGAAAAAATATAGCAATTATTATTTTTTTATATTTTAATTATCTTAATAATAAATATATACATAAAAGTTAGAAGAGAAGAATAGTAATTTTAATAAATATATATATATATATATATTATATTTCTATAAAACAAATCTCGACTAATGAAAAAAAAAACAAATTATAGACGATTACTTATTTTCAACACGATAGATTATTTTGTGGATATTTTTTGAGATTCCTCAAATGCTAAAGTCAAGTTTAAAGATGATAGAAATCAAAACTGGATCACGTAGCTTTGAATATTTGTGAGGAATATTTGAGCACAAAACCAGGTCCTATGTATATATTAAATATTTAAGCATAAAAATGTGTTATATTCTGTGGGTGTATTTACGTTCACACGGGATGAATGAGATTTTGATAAAATCACGCTCATTAATTACCATAATTTACGATCTCATACTAATAAATCTATTTTAATTCGGTGCACGCTTCTTACCAGAAAATCTTATCTTATTTTGTCTATAAAAAGCAGCTGTGGTAGTGTGAAATTTAATGATTTTCGTAGGTACCATTTAATACACGCCGCTTCTTTAATTACTTGGACATCACTCATTTAGTTTGTGTTATTTTAACATCTCTAATATCATAATTTATTGAATTAATATTGCGTGGACTACTAAATAAATGATTAGGATAAATGAAAAAAAAATAAAAAAAAAAAATTGTCCATATGCATGGTGAAGGAGAAATATTATGACATAATTAGTGATGCAGGAATGTATGCCAGATGAATTTTAAATAATTTTCTTGACCCGTTCCAAATATTGAATTTTATCATTACATTTTATTTTTTTGACTTAATATTTAAGACTTTACGACCCAACCACACGAACGTAGAAAATACCATTCAGTTAAAGAGTCAATGTTATTTTTGAATGATTTGAAATATTTTCCATTTAACAATATTTTGTAGGTCTTATACACACAGTTGTGCATTGGAATAAAATTTTTGATAATAATATCATAATATATGACATCTAATAGTTGTGTAGGAGTATAAAATAGATATGTGAATGAGATATCATTAAATATACTTATTCCTGCCTAAATTATCTTAAAAAAAAAGGGGCACACAACTCAACACGGCCAAAATAAATAAAGATGAAAAGAGTATGGGTAGTTGTCAACGAAATAAGTAGGAGTACTATTTTCCCGTATTGGCTCGTGAGCCGATTAATTTACAGCTGTCAAAGTCTTTATTACTAAAATGGACCATTGCTTGGAAGTTTACACGAGGAAACTTGGACCATTAATTTACTCTAATATTATTCTTATTAAGTTATTCGCGCTACATTTATTTTAAATGAAATATATTAGTGTAAAAAATATAAATTCAACAATACAATCAAAATTTAAAATTAGTTAACAAAATAAATAAATTTATTAATATATATTTTGAAAAAATTAAATAAAATAATTGAAAAAAATATAGGGTGATGTTGTCAGTATTTTTACCGGAGTAGAATCGAAAAATTCGTCCCCGGATCGTATCGCAAGGAAGGTTAGCCGGATATTTTTGTGCGTATATTCAATCACGAAAAAGAGAAGTAAATTTCCTAATTAAACACTCTAATTTACGTTTTTGGGTTTCAATTATCAACTACTGATTTAAACTGAATAAAATGAAAGCAAATAGCAAATGAATTTACTGAATGATTAAAGTGCTAGGGAATCGGGGATAATCGCTTTCGGTTCTAACACAATTACCGGCAATCGATTGCTCGGTTAAAGGACTTGAATCGTTTCTCGTTCAGAGGTTCACTCTCAATAACTCTTCGTAACAAGAGAGTGAATGTAAACGATCAACTATCAATTCCAACAACACATAGATAATACGTTTCCGAACAAATCTATTCTAAACGAGCCTAATTCAACCAACGTCTCCCCTCTCGGTTCTACACGTTGATTATCTAGGTTAGAAAGGTGATCAATCTACTAACCCTATGATTCACACAACTCGAATAGACACGAACAATTAAAAGCACTCAATTATAACGAACCTAATCAATCATCCCCTATCCCTAGTGAATGGATTTAGCTACTCATAACGAATTTAACATCAACATTCATATAAACCCAAGTCATCATCATCAACAAAGCAATTGAGAAAAATAACTTACGATTAATGATAAGAATCCAATGTCAAATCTAAGTGCATCCAAATCCAAAGCAAGAAATAGGAGTTTTTCAATCTACAAAACAAATCAAAAGTGCAAAAAGATGAAAAGAAATGAATTTCTCCAGAGAAAGAACGTAAAAAACAAAGTCTGTAAGTGAATAATGAACCCTAGGATCGAAATCTGCTCTAAAAATCCTGTCCTCGAAATTCGCGCTGGATAAGTCGCGAGTCGCGAGATCGTCAATTCCCTGGTCGCGAGTCGTGCGTCGTCATTTTCTTATTATTCTGGGTCTGGTCGCGACTTGGGTCGCGAGTCGCGACTCCGTCTCGCGAGTCGCGACATCGTCTCGCAACTGCACTTTTAGCCCCAGTTTTTCTCGCGGGTCCCGACATGTTCGCGAGTCGCGACCCGAGTCGCGAGTCGCGAGAATTTCTGGGCATGGTTTCTGTCCGTTTTTCAGTCCCCGTCGTCGTCTTCTTGGCTCGGCCACGGGAATTCTCGATATCACGGTCTCGACTCAAATAGTCCCAACCTCGACCGGCACAACCTACCTCCTGAAAACACAAAAACAAGGAAAAACACGAAGCAAAACACGGCAAAAAGACACATGAACATAAACTAAAGGCAAAAACGCAAAACGAACGAAATGTACCAAATAAACTACGAAAAACCTACAAATGGGGGAAAACAAAAAGAAAATAAACATGAAATAAAGACACAAAAATGGGACAAACAGGTGATACTGTTAATATCTTCAGAGTAATACGGAAATGTAGTGCTATTATTGGAGTGAGTTTTTCGCACAACTCTAAAATATATTGCATTGGATCGATACTGTTCATCTCTAATGTTGCGCTACAATGTTACTCTACTTCAAAGTTGTGTGAAAAATTCGCTCCAATGTTACGCTACATTTCCGCATTACTTAGCAGATATGAACAAACTGCACTAGACGTAGCACGACATTATTCATCGCACTACAATTTTTTTTTCATTTTTAATTTGACTTTTATTATATATATTATTTTGACAAAATATACATAAATAAAATTATTTATTTCATTAACTAATTTTAAATTTTAATTTTATAGTTCGATTTGAATTTTATTTGGTACTGGTAAATTTCCTGTAGAGGATCTCCAGAGTAGATAATGCCAAAACTGAATTTCTGCCTTCAGTCGTTCGCAATAAATTTTACTACTAGTACAAAAATATATATAAATATAATAATAAAATCAATATTTTAAATTAGTTAACAAAATAAATAATTTTACTAATGTATACTTTACCAGAATAATATCTAAAAATAAAAATAAAATAAAGAATTAGATTTGAATAGAAAAATTGTAGCGCATTGAATAGTATCGCGTTACATGTAGTGCAATATTGTTAGCATTTTCAGGTGAACCGAGTTTTAGGTAGTATAGTTAACCAATTGGACTTGGTTTCGGTACCAACCCTGTGTTCCGATATAACGCATCAGAGCAATTTTTTCGCATAATTTGAAGTAAAGTAGTAATGTGGCAAAGAGCTGGAGAACCTTTCCAACTAGAATAAGGTTTATAAAATCCAAAAATATAATCGCAAGGCCGAAGCGAAGACTCTGAAAAAGATCTCACTCATCGACTTCCAATATTATAACCTATCAGCATACAGCTCCACCCAACGAACTTTTCGAAGCGAAGTGAAGGAAAAGAGAGGGCTATTAACATAGCGCCTCCTATCCGTTTATTATACATAAATAAATACAAGTAATATGGTTACAAGTGATTAAACCTAGATATTTATTAAAATAATAAAAAAAATTATGTATGGTGTTGAGGCTTAGAGTAATAAAAGAATAACTGAATTGGTCAGGGTTAGGCATATATACCGTGAATGGATTATTGGAAAACAGATGGAAATCAAATCTTAACAAATGTTGTATATCTATTTGGTAGCTTAAAACATTTGATTTACATTGGAAGCTCTTGAACAACATAAAACATAAAAGACAATTAATGAGTCAATATATTGTGTGGGATTGAGTATATATCAAATTTCATTATCTCATTTATTAAAAGAAAAATATACTATTTATATTTCATTATTTTTATTCTGCTTAATTTGTATTCTTAAGATAATTTTATCTATTAATTATAATTATGCACTAATATATTTTAACGATTAATCATTATTGCGCTATTTCTCTACCACATGACAAACAATTATTATTTTCATATCATAT